AGCGAACAGCGGCAATGTTTTTTGGTTTTGTAATCACTGAAACTACCGGTGCGGTCAAAGGTTCGTTTATTGAAAACGACTCTATACCAAGTGCAATAGGCTAGTTTTTATTCCAGAACCATTCACAGCTACTTTTTCAACCAACTTAAAAAAAGGAGGAGGTTCTCAATTCGACCCGTATGTTTTTTTTTTTCTATGTTTGTTACGCGATAACTCCGCCAATTATGAACCGATTTGAACAAATCTTTTTTCGGCGTATAGGTAATACCTCAAGAATGGTCCCATTTAAATTTAATAATAAAAAAAACAACCCCCAAGGGTGGAAAATTGGGGATGAACTTTTTTATACGCAATATCTCCGCCGATTATAAACCAATTTGAACGATTATTTTTTTGTTGAATAGGTATTATCAAAAGGGTGGTTTCATGCGAATTTGAAGAAAATATTTCACCCCCAAGGGTGGAAAATTGGGGATGAACTTTTTTATACGTAATATCTCCGCCGATTATGAACCAATTTTTTTTTGGTCTCAGTGTACTGCCTACCTTCAGTGGTAACATCAAGGTAATAATTAGTTAACTAAAAAGCAAGAAATAAGTAAAATTTTATAAAAAAAATAAAACCGACTCCAAAAAACCTACACTAAAACGTAGAAAAATAATTACTAATTAGGTACCTACTTATTTATTAGGACGAATTATTAATATTTATGTAGGTATACCATGATTGATACTTTTGGAGTCGGTGCAGGCAAACTTTACATGTTTCATAACCTTGGCACCGACTCCAGAAGTATCAATCATGGTATACCTACATAAATATTAATAATTCGTCCTAATAAATAAGTAGGTAATTAGTAATTATTTTTCTACGTTTTAGTGTAGGTTTTTTGGAGTCGGTTTTATTTTTTTTATAAATTTTATTATTGTAAGCAAACCGATATAGACCCGTTCAATTGTTTTCCCATATTATCCATATTTAACTGAAACGTCGATCATATCAGTATCAAATGTTAGCTAACTAGACGCGAGGGGCTTTCCCCTCTTGTCTTTACATAAATCCACAATAAGTAAGTAGGTAGAAATAATCGTAAAATAACAAGTAATTTTCTTTTATAACACGTACGTGTCGTACGTAGGTACTCAACAAATACCACGGACAGTGCTAATTTGATTTCCGTTCAGTACCTCTAGTAGGAAAAACTTTCGAGTTCGTTTCGTTGCGTATTCAAAGTGTCATCGAAAAATTTTGTATGAAAAATTAAACAGCGCCCCCTATATTATAGCCGCCCTAGGGGGCGCTGTTTAATTTTTCATACAAAATTTTTCGATGACACTTTGAATACGCAACGAAACGAACTCGAAAGTTTTTCCTACTAGAGGTACAGGTCAAATGAATGAACCAATAAAAGCGTTGCGATTTCCCGATCCAATTATATTTCATTGGTGGTAGCGCTTTGGCGATACTATTGCCAATATTTCGACAGATATTATTAATTGAAAAACCGCATGAAAAGCATATTCGATAAAAGCGCTTGCATTAATGTAGAGTTATATTTCGTCAGCCATTTATCAAAATAATTCTACATGTGAGTTGTTTTAGCGATATAGAGCAAAAATGGTATTTTGGAAGATTTTTCTCGAAGACTACTGTTGAGTAAAAACGTTACTGTACTATGAGCGTGATGCGGTCGAAACTCGAACGTGAACTATATTTTATGATACCTACGTTCACATGTCGATCGAACGACACTTCCCGATTTAAAAATAAAATGTTGTACAGTTTACACTAACGTAGTAAAGATAGCGTATTCAGGACGAGGGAGGCTGTTTTCAGGCTCGCTCAGCGAATTGCCCTGTGCAAAGAGTGATTTAAAATTCAGGGCGCAGCGGCTGACGCGGTGAGCGCTCATTATTACCACGGTGTTTCAACACGCATGCATATGGGCGAAGTTTTAAATAGTCCATCAACTTTGTTTACTACGGGAAAGTGTAAACTGTGAGCGAATTGGGGCATTGTGATAAATCTTTGCGAAACATCACTCATATTTAGAGCATAAGGTAGTACCTTATGGATCAGTTATGTGGTGTTAGTAAATGGTTTTATTGGCAATTATCCCAACTTTTTATTACTGATTCATGCTATTGAGAATGAACATTGGTTTGAGATTAACCTGGTACAGTACCTAGTGTATTAAAGTCGTATAGGTACATTACATTAAGCCTACACAGGACTTGTGTATAATTTACCTCTTCAAACTAGTTTTACACTTAGATGAGCAATCACTATAAACACAACAACCATAACATTCTGAGTGGTTATGGTTTCATCATTTCAGCAGGCAATTAAACGTAACAGTATAATATTATCGTTAACAATTTATATTTATATCGCTGCCCGCCCGCCCAAGAGCCATTTGCCGCCCACTGGGCCGCTAGGGTGTCGACCCGGTATTCGCACAATGCACAAAAACAATGCACTTATTACGGAAATTTTTTTTCAGAAAAACATGGCTTCATTTTAGTCCCTACTTTTTTAATATTCAAATACCAGCGCGCCCATTTTGTGCGTGCAAATAGCACCTAAGCTTTATTTAAATGTAGTTTAGAGTTTGTTTACCCTTTTCTCGGTGATTTAAAAGGTTTAATCTGTATAATCCATACTGATTGATGGTCGGATAGGTGATCGAAAAGACCGGCAATGCATCTCTTTTGTTTCTAATTCTAAATGAACTCGTTGTTTTTCCTGTCTCTATCCATGCCAACGCTCTCGGCTTGTAGTGGCCAGAAACGATTTACACAATACAGCCGGTGCCGGCCGCGAATGTGACAAATATTAGCTTCAGTCAGCGACAATCTTTCGTCGCTCACGGTTTTTGCATTACGTTTTCAATAAAAAAAAATCACGATAAACAGTTACGGTTTCCCATTTGTGATTTTCCTTGTGAGTATTGTAAGTTTTTCAACGTTATATGTAGTGGCACGTGTGTAGCACAGGAAATAAGTTTAGTAAAGAAGCCGGACTATCCAATACGTTTATACGTCGCTGGAACATTCTGTGCTTATAGGCTATATCAGAAAAGGCATAAAAGTTTTGTCGTCTGGGCAGGCCGCGGCAAGTCACTCGCTGTCAACTCCAGGCTCAAACTGAACTAGTGTATTTTATATTTCTTTTGCTTTTGACATGCTACAAGATTGCCATGAAAGTGCTTATTTCATTCCGTTGTTCGTAGCCCTTTTTTTAAGGAAGAAAATGTCATGTTTCCTTAGGGACCAAGCTTAAAGAATGCCTGTACTTACTACGTCCTAAACGCTTTTGTGAGATATTCTTATTGATTTCTCATCTCAACGGTCCTTGTTCGATGTTGAAAATGTTTCAAGGGATAATCTTTTTGTATTTCCGCATGTAAGACTCTAATCCTCGTTTTCAATAGCAATTCGATTGGTGTGTACAGCTTCATACTGTTTTATCTGCGAGAGCGTAAATGAGAAATCTGAAGTTGTTTTTAATGAAACAAAATTGAAGTCATTCAAAGAAGTGTTTAGTCATATCTATCATCAAACAAGACCCACTGCACTCGACCTTTTAATTTAATTTGTCTGAAGCACAGCGCACAATAATGTAATTAATGCTCCATTGGCCCTTACGATGGACCCGTCAATGAAGGCAATTATTGAATTGCGTCTCTCAGCCGAGCTTCGGTGTTCAATTTATCAGGATTCAGATCCCTCTTGACTTCACGAAACGTTGTTAATTGAGAGAGGTCCATGATAAATGCTCGCTCCTTAATCGACACGTTCATGTTGATGCTTTGTCTTCCAATGTTCTCTATTTTTACAAGCCTTTAGAAGGTTCGTGTTTTAATCTTAAAAGTTTAATGACCCATATCCAGAGTTTGTCTAGGTTAAAAGCTACGAGTACTTATATCTTGTAGTATTAAACACTCCTCATCTAAATTCACGATTAGGTATAACGATGATTTGTATCATCGATATTGAGATTTTTACTAATAGATAACACTTGATTCTTTTCATTGCTAAGTGTAAATTAATGTAGTTGTATTACTGCCAAGATCAATTGAGTTTAACGATTTATTAAACACATTATACGCGTTAGATTGTAAATATCATTCATTGGCTGCCCACACAGGCTAAAGACCCAATGATTTGGTGAGTCCGCGGTTTAGAAATCGGGTTAATTTGTAAACATTTCTGCTCTAGCGAAAAAGTTTAACAAATGGTTATATTTAGCCTTCTGGAACACGTGCACGCCCTCTCCCAGATGAGCAGTAAAATCGCGCTTTTGTTGGATATTCCCGGCAGTACAGCTGTCGTTCTATTTCCGATACGAGGGGAGTTTTCTTTAATAACATTTCGGCGACGTGTCATTCACTACGTGATACCCAATAAACACGAGTGGATTGTTTACATAACATTTACACACGCAACTTTCACTCATTTGAAATTAAGTCTTAAAACTTAAGTGCTTATATCCTTTCATTATAATGACTACAGAATCCACGAACAAGGAAGAAAAATGAATTGTTTGAAACCCCGAAATGGTTATAGAAGACATGAATTTGTGTTAGTGGAACCTTCTGCCCCGCCGTACTATGATACTCAATTCCCCTACAATCCAGATTTTATGAATGATAGTATTCAATATATTGAACCTCAAGCACCGTGGGAGTCATCAGAGATACAGCAACAGTCTGAAAACGTCATAGAGGATGGTTCGGAATATGAAGAGTGCGTCGAGTGGGGGCGCTACTCCCTGTACGAGGGCGTCAACTGCATGCCGGTGAGTGCGCTTCTTTGAGTGCAGCGCGCCGCACGCTACCTTGCGCTTACGCATTACTCAACCTCGCTGTAACGAGACGTAATCATTGCTGTGTTTGATTAATTTAACGATCATAATAACATTTTTCTTCCAAACTTTCTCAACACGACGAAAGTTCGTTTCTTTTTGTGTGTGTAATAAAACCATGGATCAAAGCGGGAAGGGTGTCCGGAATGCATCAGACGCATATACCCCGATCTATTTCCGGGCGCGTTTGTCGGCCGTGTTCGTGTAGGCGCCGTTCATTTTAAACCAAAACATGCGCGAGCTCGGCCGTGGGGGCTCATTCGTAGCAGCCACCATAGCGGCGTTGCACAACCGCGCCACGGACTCGAAGCCTCGGTCGATTAAATCGAGATCGAACTCCGCCGAGATCACAAACACGCTCCGCACCGGGACGCAAGATCACTTCGGAGAGGATATCTCTCGGCGGGCGTCGGACTGCAGCGAGCGACCTCTGTCCACGGCGTCTGAGGCCTCCTCGCGTGACTCCGCTTCCGTGCAGTCGAGTGAGGAACCGCCCCCACAGGAGAGTACGTAATTTTCGAGCCGTGAACGAATCACTGACGTAGTATATTACTGGAACGCGGCCAAACTCTAAATAGAGACACGTCGGTGACTCGTACGTAGAGCTTGTCGCGCAGTGTCGCTTGTGCAGAGCCTCATGTCCGACCGCGAATACTTGACCGAACCCTTCGACGAGGACGAGGAGCGCGCGGCGGCGGGCTACGTGCACCCCGCCGTGCGCTCTTATATGTACTCGCCTATGGGTGAGTTTCGCGTCGTTCCTGTGGCTCTACATAAGTGTACAAGAGTGTTATTATACAAAATATTTCATAACAGGCGGTGACTCGGATAGCCCTGACGAAGCGACCGTGAAATGCACGGCTTGGAAAGACGGCGCGGTACCGGCGCGAGCTGAGTCTTCATCAGACAGCGAGTCCAGTTCTACCAGCGAGGATGATTCTGAAGAGAGAGAATATGAAACTCAAGGGAACGATGCAGATTATCGCACGTTGACACCCAGCAGACGTTTGGACAACTCGACGCGGCGTGACGATGATTTCAAATGGATGCCATCTGGTGAAGTGACGGATGACCGAGATCCGATGGAAAGTAAAGGGGATGATTACTCCGCTGCGAGTTTGGATAGGCGTCGGCGATTGCCGTCAGATCGCAGTGACCGTGACCGAAAAAGTAGGTCGTCGGTGTCATCGAAGCCACCTCAGCACCCGTCGAGCGTGCGGGCGTCGCCGAAGCCTCGTAAGCATCGCGCGGAGGAGACGCCTCCTGACTTGCACCGGCGATGGAACTCGTACGAGCACTTTCGCTGGCCGCCGGAGGGCGGGTGGTGGCCGCCGATGTGCTGGTGCCACGGGCCGCCGGCGCCGCCGCCGTGCTGCATGCATGACCGCGCCTGGCCCTCGCACCCTTCACTTCCACCGGTGCCGGCGCGAACTTACAAGGTACGCCCGAATGCATTCCGGACAACTTGTTGTGCTAATCAGGTGACCAGTGTAACTATGTCGAAATAGTCGCCTACGTTTAGCAGTTACGTTTTGTCAATCTACACTAATATTATAAAGAGGAAAACTTTGTTTGTTTGTTTGGTTGTAATGAATAGGCTCAAAAACTACTAGACCGTTTTTAAAAATTCTTTCACCATTTGAAAGCTACATTATCCACGAGTAACATATGCTAAATTTTATTTTGGAAAAAAAATAGGGTTCCGTAAAATATGTATGTAGTCCACGCGCGCGAAGCCGCGGGCGGAAAGCTAGTGTAACATAAGTAGATTAGGTGTTGAATGATTGTCGTAACTCGTAACTTATCCCATGTATTTACTGTTCTGTATTTCAGGTGCTATTACTACCAGTCCATTGCATTGATATCCTTCCATTTGTTTTATTGACTGAAGGTTGTTGTTTTTCTCCTATTTGATTCAATGTAATATACCCATTTATTAACGTGTCTAATAATATAAATTATGTTTTTGTTGTTAAATGTATTATTTATTAATTATGTGCTAACTTTTAAAAATACTTAATAACAAAAATGTACACATTAAGTATGTGCTAGGAAAACATTATTGCAAGCTACTATTTTAATTTAATGTTATATTTTTACTCGTAAATACAAATGCAATTATTGCATCGCATACTAGATAATTTATAGCTGTAAAATTTTATTTCATGAAGTTCAAACGAACTATAAGTCGATACAATATTCGATTTTACAACTGACCAGATAGTTGGAATTAGGGAAGCAGTCAGATTGTAGCAGTTTCAAAGCTAATAATACAGTTTTTGTTTACAGAACGATGCAGAAGACCGAGTCAGAAGGCTGGAGGCGGACAAGGAGAGTCTACACCTGCAAGTGCAGGTGCTGTCAGAACAGATCGCGGCCCAGAACGAGAAGATGAGTGACCTGGAGCGCTCGCTCCACGACGCGCGGCAGAGGCTAGACGATGCGGAGCAAAGACTGCAGAAGGTAAACTAAAGTTTTTTTAAATGTAATTTAATTTAATGGCGCGAAGTTTTTCAACTTACTTTTTTAAGAATAAAGGCTCGTATACAACGCTTAAAAGTCTAACTCTAATATAAAATGCTAATACTAAAACTCACATGACGTTTAAATCTATGTCTTCTTTTTTACGCATCGTAAATCAACACTACAAATAAGTTGAGAGGATGTAGCGATGACACACAAACTGAGCACTGTGGCATCATAAGTAGTAATAGGTGCGATTTTGGCGACAAAAATTAATAGCCTATTGTGCTAGTGACTGTACATCCAGCGCGACTGAAATAATATAGCGCTGAAAGACAGTAAGATGTGCTGAATTGTTAATAGATACGTTAAGAGTGCTCCACAAAATTTACTCAACACCAGGCCCTGAGGTGAGAGCTCTGAATAAATAAATATTTTACTAACGGCAACGGTTACAGTTCGCAACGTCCTATTAAAGCAAGGTGGTAAGCTCTTTAACATTCAGCACGGCCTAGATCCCGCTGGAATGGGGCTATTGAATAATCATGATCGGTGTGGGCCGAGCAATTCAACGCTTCGAGACACCCGCCATTCATCGCGAGATATGACATTGTCGCACCAATTGTACAATCACTCCGTTTCACACAAGATGACAGACATCCCTTATCTGCAGCCGCGTATACACGCAAATACTCATTATGAGCTCGAGGCCCTAAGTCCTACTTTTTATCTTTTTCCATCAGACAAATTAAATTTTCCATGGCAAAGTCTACCTATTATTTTCCTCTCTTGTCGTTGCTTGCTATCGACATCACATTACCATCTGTTTATACGCTCTATTGTGTATGGCATGCTAATAAGATTGTGATGTCAGAACCCGGGATAGCTATTTATTTTGCTGTCTGTAAAGCAGGCGGAGACGAGCCGAATCCTAATGTTATTTGCTTCATCAAGAATCTTGGAATCTTGCGTGTGTTTGAGATGTTAATCGTTGGAGAGTCCAGGCATCGCGAGCACGCAACGTTGGGAGCTGTTATTACGCAAATACAAATTGGCTTTGTTAACTGTGATTAGATTTCTGAGAAAAATAAAAAGATTTCACTGAAAGTTAATGGTGGAATTTATTATTTATCTAGCTCACACTTATTAAATAACTTGTAAATGGTATTTGCTGACAAGTCATAATAGGCTGACAAAAGATGACCGAGTTTCCTCCGCCACTTCGTCTCAGCACCAGATATACCCATTGTCCCGGAGTAGGGGCAGGGAAAGCTATATTTGGGACGTTTTAAATGCGCTGAAAAGGGCCGATAGACTAATAACGAGCTATAATTTTTAACGTAGCTTTTCTAAGTCACAAGCATTTTTAAACTATAGTTATAGGCGTGATGTAATAATGTCGGTCGGTTTTACATTGTGGCCGTGGCCCGTCTGAAAGTAATGATGATTCACGTCAGTTCGGGAATAAAATCGTGGGCCAATAACTAATGTAATGTAATAATTGAACACATCGCCTACACCAGCCGACTCCGGTGGCAATGAACTGTTTTAAACTGTTTACGAGTGTACTCGTGGGTAGGTAATAGGTATTCTCTACTAAATTGTGCAGATCTAAGCTAAATAAGCTCTATAAGAATCCCAAAAAAGAGTCATCATATCAATAGAGATACGTATGTGCTGTGCTATCCTTTTATAATTGTTCGATTCTAAAGTATTTTGTTTTAGTTTTTTGTAAGTGCTTTTTTAAAGCCTACTTACAGAAATACATGAGTTTTACTGAGTTTTTTATTATTAATTAAAATAGTAAGAAATAAAGGAAATAATTTTATTTGGCAACGAAAGAAAAGAAAATAATGTACTATGTAATTACATCCTTTTTACAAGCTTTATATTGTTTCTAAATACTCCTTTTCTAAATAACGCGGATGTTTTAGTCTCGAGAAGGAGAATTAGGATAGTTTGTAAATGTTATAATTCACCCGTTTCCCTCCCACACAACAGAAAGCTGAAACATTAAAATAAATAAGGAACATAGTTGGAATGACTTTTCTTATAGGAATGGGCAAAGAAAACAAAATTCCGTTCTAATTTCGTAGTCCATTTACGCCTTGTATCGCCCGTGTATCTCCCTGCGAATGCCAGATGCGCTTTTTATTAAACGCCTGAGATACGAACCCATAAACTACGTCATTGATAAAGTTAATTTCAAATGGGTCAGATCTGTTTATACATTATTTGTAAATGTTTAAAATTTAGAAACGTTTGTTTGAACAGTCTGAAAGCTTTCTTTCGCCGTTTCAGATCGTTGTATGCCGGATATGTGATCGCTTTGTATTTCAGTTTCAGTAAACTGTTGATATTTATGAGCTCAAGGGAGTTTATTTTGATTTCCTTATGCCAGTAATTTATAGTAACTTTGTCTGCAAAATTGTATCAATATGTGTGTAATATTAAAACTGTATGTTTTGCGTTTTAATGAAAATTTATTATTAACCACGGCTCAGTCAATATCACTGGAGCTGTTGGTACTGGATTGGATTCGGGAATATATTTTCACGTTGGCTGTTGGAAAATTACTGGACTAAATTCAAAATTCAACTTCAATTAAAAATACCTTTTAGTTAACTCGTCTCCCGCAGGCTGTCGCAACCCGAAAAGCCACAAAATTCGATATCACTGTCAATAGAGCGCACTGGGTTCGAATAAATCCCCTATCTAATCCTATCCTTAGAATATTCTAGCTACACTGCGCTTCTTTGACGAGATTTATTCTGTCGGAATATTAGGATCTCGGCATTCGTAGTTTAGAACATATTTTATAATAAATCCTTGGAAATTCCACACTGTGCCATCTAGTCATGAGTTGAGTGAATTGAGGAGTTTGTTGCGGCGCTTCTTCTCAGCACTTGCCAAATGTTTGTCTCGAAGCGCTGGTAGGGCAAAAAAAGAATGAGACATGTATAGGCTCCATAAGAGCATTTGACGATTTGTAAGTACTAATTTAATTAGTCTAAACAAATAAAGATAATTTTGATTTTGAGTCTTGTACTACGGGTAGCAGACAGCAGTGGTTAGAACGCAAACCATTACTTTAGGTGGTCGTCAAAGACATTCCCACATTAAATGTTCTTAATGTTTTTTCTAGGAAATGCTACAAAGGTCTTCCCTGGAGACGCAAAAACTGGAGCTGTTATCGAAACTGAGCGAAGTGCGGCTACGAGTGGCCGAGCGTGGCTTGCTAGAGCGCTCGCCGCCGCCCGACGCCGGCGGACCGCTCGTCAGGCCCGCGCCTCCTAGGGTTAGCACCTTATAATAACTTGCTATTAAAATAGTAACAGTTAGATTTCAACCAAATGTTGTTCACAAAGAAAAAGGCTTCCTCCGAGGGCACAACGACCGGTCCTGCGTAACCTAGACCATTTTTATTATTTGCCCATTTGCTAATGTGCCTACATTGGAGAGCACGAACCCTCTCCTGCATTGGAGAGTAAATGACCTGATGATAATCAATAGTTAGTAATAGATAATAGTTACTACGTTGTGGGAATAAACAAATTAATCTGTGAAATCTTAGCTTGCAAGAATGTCATAATGTTAGAGTAGAGAAATAGCCTGAAAAATTATTGGGGTGTTGAGAACCGCAGAGACGCTCGATGGTATGCGGCGTTGCGGTGAGCCATTGCAAATTGGCCAAATGGTTAGGAGCTGACGTCTATAGTTTCAGATAACTATTACTAATTTCGGTATTGATTATTACTGATGCCTAGACAATACATACATAGAATAGGATAGGATACGCTGGTCTTAAAATCTGCTGTTATAATATTGTAATAAGTGATCTGCTACGAACCTTATTCATCAGATAGTAAAAATATCTATTTCAGACGCCGCCAGCGAACTACGGGCGCTCCATCGAGCGGAATACCCACATGTATTCGTCGCTACCTCGCTCGTCCGTGGTGGCGTCGGACGCGCGCGTGGCGTTCGGTAAACCCAACGGGATGGTGGTGGCGCGCGGCCGCGGGCACTCGGTGCCGAACCTAGGTCGATAGCAACGCTTGCACGACACATATGCGTTCCCCTGCTTTGTGGGCTGCCATCTTTAACTTTTCATTTCTTGACAACTAAAAAAAAATATCTAAAATGTAGTTTCGAGAGACGCGCTGAATCGGATATTGAGAGACTTCACCACTATCTGATAAAGTCCAGGATAGTTTATTAGGGGCATATCTGATGGATTTACTGCCTACTCTAGGTGACCGATTTTGGATCTAGATGTCTAGCTGATAGGTCACCCTTAACTGTGAAATGGCTTAATCGTTAACTTCACTGTTTCGATTTGAAAGATATACTCGTCTCGGTAAACCCTACGGGATGGTGGTGGCGCGCGGCCGCGGGCACTCGGTGCCGAACCTAGGTCGATAGCAACGCTTGCACGACACATATGCGTTCCCCTGCTTTGTGGGCTGCCATCTTAACCCTTAATCACTTCAAAATTAAAACCAATATTCTTCAATGAAGGAAAGACGCGCTGAATCGGATATTGAGGGTCACCATTTTCTGATATACTCACCAATAGCGTACTAAGAACTTATCTGTCAGATAAACTAAAACTTTCGGTGTCACAGATTTTGGATCGAGATATCTCGCTGATAAAGTCACCGTTAACTGTGAAAAGGCATAACTCGTCTCGGTAAACCCTACGGGATGGTGGTGGCGCGCGGCCGCGGGCACTCGGTGCCGAACCTAGGTCGATAGCAACGCTTGCACGACACATATGCGTTCCCCTGCTTTGTGGGCTGCCATCTTAACCCTTAATCACTTCAAAATTAAAACCAATATTCTTCAATGAGGGAAAGACGCGCTGAATCGGATATTGAGGGTCACCATTTTCTGATATACTCACCAATAGCGTACTAAGAACTTATCTGTCAGATAAACTAAAACTTTCGGTGTCACAGATTTTGGATCGAGATATCTCGCTGATAAAGTCACCGTTAACTGTGAAAAGGCATAATTGTTAACTTCACTGTTGCGATTTCTAACATAATACTCGTCTCGGTTAACTCAACGGGATGGTGGTGGCGCGCGGCCGCGGGTGACAACCTAGGTCGATAGATCGCATGCATATTATGCATTGCCACGCTATAAGTCCTTGCTCGTTGACGGCTGCCATCTTCATGTTTGAACAACTTGAGCCGCGTTCACACTAGCATAAAGCTTGGGCTCGCAAGGTACGCTTGACATCCTGCTCAGAGCTGAGAGTCCATGCGCCCAGTGTGGACGTGAATTTAGCGACTAGAAAAATTCTGGCCTGTGACGAAGTTTCGCTGAATCGGATATTAATGAACGAGCTTTCCCCCACGTTCTGAAAGTCCGTGATAAACTACGTATAAATAACTTATCGGTCAAATAACTACATGAATTGAAGAACAGTTAACGCTGACTTGAAGATTACACGTTCTTAAAAATTTGAGAAAATTAATGACACTTCCATTTTTATAAGTACTGTTGCAATATTCAAAGAGCATAAGGAAGAAAGATATCTAAAGTGAGACCTAAGACTGAATAGCTTTTTACCCTAGCTCCCCATTATGCTATACGTATAGGAAACAATCTAAGACCAGAATTTTCATAACTCCTATTTGGAATCAAAGATGGCAGCCCTACTCGTGTCTAATACAGTCTCTCACCCCAGCTTGGCCTATTGTTGTTGTACTGTGTCTAACGAGTGACCCGCATGCCGATCCCACCACTACATGTGGAAAATCCTATAGTTAGCCAAATATTTTAACTGCTTAGTAATTGATTTATCCTTTGCTCAAAAATTAAGCTATAAATATTTAATACTCACTCAAAAATTAAGTTATAATTATTTAACACAAAGTTTATTAGCTTTATGTGTCCGTAAAATAGTTTTTTAGTTGCATGTTAAAATTATATTGACTCTATCACGATAATACAATGTCTTATGAGAATTCTCAAGTCTCTCTCCCATAAGAGAATCTTGAAGCCACGATAGCCGCCTGCCTGTAAATATTGATAAAATTCAACTTCCTGCCTGTAAATATTAATAAAATATTGTTATAAAAAATTTAGACAACATATTCATAAAGCAAATCTCACCTACTGAAGACCGTTATTCGTATTTTTTACTCATCTCCCGAACCTTAAAATCNACTACACAACACTGTGCCATACTCAAGCCCCATATAGGACCATATAACGCGCGACGCAAAAGTATAGTCAGCGACTCAGTGCAGCCGGGCCTCCGAGATTAGGCATCAACCGGCTTAGTGCGCCGGCGGTAGCCAAAAGCTTAGGGGTGAGATGATTCAAGTGGCCGTCACCACTGTCCAACTAACTACAATCCGAGGTACCTACCGCAAAGATTTTCCGACTGTAATATGTGGTGTATGTTGACCTATTTATGGCAAATAAAATATTAGTATTATTCCTCTTTATAATATTAGTAGGTATACATACATAACTTGCTGTTCCAAATTTTCGTCATTCGTTTTCGTTTCATCGCTAAAAATAACTTAATTTTATTTTGCATTACGTCTGAAATAGAATTTGTAGTAAAAATAGACTGTAATGAAAAATAACAATAAAATATTTTAATTACCACGTGATCGCAAAATCTACCACCAAGATTTTNCGCGCGCGTCGATACGATCTACGGGACCGCGGCCGAGGATGACTCCTATGCCTTGGTAAGGAACTATTCTAGTAGATACTTAACGAGTGAGAATCATAAAGGAAGTAAGCAGGAAAGAGAAGGTAATACCGCGTGGCAGTCCGTCCCCCTCGCTCAGAGAAGTGCGATCGCGACTCGGCAGCGGCGGCGGCGGAATTCGATTAGGAGACGATATTGCGCGCGCGTAAGGAACTGTAGTAGAATACTCTACGGCAAGAATAATAATGGAAGTAAGTGCGAAAGAGAAAGCAATACTGCATGGCAGTCCGTCCCTCACTTCGAGAGGTTCGCTAGCGACTTGGCAGCGGTGGCGGCGACGTCAGACTAGAAGGAGATGACATTGCGCGTGCGTCGATCTACCTACGGGACCGCGGCCGAGGATGACTCCTATGCCTTGGTAAGAAACTTATAGTAGATTACTCTACGGGCAAGAATCATAATGGTAGTAAGTAGGAAAGAGAAGGCAATACCGCGCGGCAGTCCATCCCCCTCGCTCAGAGAAGTTCGCTCGCGACTCGGCAGTGGCGGCGGCGGAATTCGATTAGAAGGAGACGATTTGCGCGCGCGTAAGGAACTGTAGTAGAATACTCTACGGCAAGAATCATAATGGAAGTAAGTACGAAAGAGAAAGCAATACTGCATGGCAGTCCGTCCCCCTCGCTTCGAGAGGTTCGCTAGCGACTTGGCAGCGGTGGCGGCGGCGTCAGACTAGAAGGAGATGACATTGCGCGTGCGTCGATCTACCTACGGGACCGCGGCCGAGGATGACTCCTATGCCTTGGTAAGGAAACTATTGTAGAGTACGGGCGAGGATCATAATGAAGTGAGTAGGAAAGAGTAAGTAATACCGCGCGGCAGTCCGTCTCGCTCGCGACTCGGCAGCGGCGGCGGCGGGATTCGGTTGGAAGGAGACGACATTGCGCGCGCGTCGATACGATCTACGGGACCGCGGCCGAGGATGACTCCTATGCCTTGGTAAGGAACTATTCTAGTAGATACTTAACGGGTGAGAATCATAAAGGAAGTAAGCAGGAAAGAGAAGGTAATACCGCGCGGCAGTCCGTCCCCCTCGCTCAGAGAAGTGCGATCGCGACTCGGCAGCGGCGGCGGCGGGATTCGGTTGGAAGGAGACGACATTGCGCGCGCGTCGATATGGTCTACGGGACCGCGGCCGAGGATTACTGCTATGCCTTGGTAAGGAACTATTGTAGAGTACACTACGGGCAAGAATCATAATGGAAGTAGGAAAGAGAAGGCAATACCGCGCGGCAGTCCATCTCCCTCGCTCAGAGAAGTTCGCTCGCGACTCGGCAGCGGCGGCGGTGGAATTCGGTTGGAAGGAGACGACATTGCGCGCGCGTCGATACGATCTACGGGACCGCGGCCGAGGATGACTCCTATGCCTTGGTAAGGAACTATTGTAGAGTACTGAGTACACTACGGCAAGAATCATAATGGAAGTAGGAAAGAGGAGGCAATACCGCGCGGCAGACCGTCTCTCTCACTCAGAGAAGTGCGATCGCGACTCTGTAGGAGTTTGAAGGAGACGACATTGCGCGCGCGTCGATACGATCCACGGGACCCCGGCCGAGAATGACTCCTATGCCTTGGTAAGGAACTATTCTAGTACATACTTAACGGGTGAGAATCGTAAAGGAAGTAAGCAGGAAAGAGAAGGTAATACCGCGCGGCAGTCCGTCCCCCTCGCTCAGAGAAGTTCGCTCGCGACTCTGCAGTGACAGCAGCCTTGGTAAGGAACGATAAAAGTTGAACACTCGACAGTAAATTTCTGTGGGACTATTACAAGGAACAGTGGAACTGATCCATAGAATACTATTTCATATTATTCGTAGGCAGTTTATGCAAATTCTTATGCAGATTTCGAATGAGAAATTCACATGTTATTGTTTTTTAGGCAAACAACAGACCTACGACAATGGGACTGCGAAACCACCTGCGGCTGGCTGGAGAGCCTCGGGCTGGAGGTGTACGCGGCCGCCGCCAGGAGCTGGCTGGGCGGGGCGCCGGACGCGCGCGGCGTCATCGCGGCCGCCTCGCCGCAGACCATAGACAAGGAGCTCGCCGTCAAGCACCCGATGCATAAGAAGAAGATTGTTCTGGCGCTTACGGATCTGTTGGTAAGTGTATTTTGTCTAGGAGTTTCTTAGTAAGAAACGCGTTTGTTGCATGAGATATACCCAGCTATGGAGCTGTTTTGTGAAGCTCGCGGGGTGACTAAGGAACCTCTTTTTTCTCCGTGGAGAAGTTTAGTCGCTCTAGTTAGTAA